AGTTCTTTGTCAAAAGAAGCTAAGTAGATGACCTCAAAACTATTAACAATGCATAGTTTAACCTTCTCAAGCATTTGGTTGCATTATGATAGAGCAATTGCAGTAATTTTGTTACTAAATGTATGAAATATCCTCTGTAGCACTATAATATCTGTGTAGGTATTATTATAGAGTTCCCAAGGCCCAGTCAGGTGAAGTGATGTCCACTTTATAATTACCATCTGTTTAACTTTGTTGCAGTTCCACATTACAATTCAGAAGGTCAATGACACTTTATATGGTAGGAACCCAGCAAGAGTAGATGAAGTAGAGCAGCTCTGAGACCACCAAAGTGAAACTACTTCAGCTGATCGACAGCTCATTACCTGAGCATAAAACTGTGAGAACAATGGGGAAATAGTTTTGCAGATGGTTGGTGTCCACCTACAATATTATTACGCAGTTTTATAATAAACTACATTATTTAGTAGTATTTTTCTTGTAGAGGTGCATATAATTTCTATAAAGCAATGAGTTTTGTTGATTTACTCTTAAAATTTCAGAAAATCAGCAGTTACATTACAAATCTAAATTACTTTTTTGCTACTTCTCTTCTTTAGTAGAGCATCAAAATGAGCAGGAAACTCCTCATTACCACTTGGGACTCAGCCCATGTCAATGTGACCTCAGTGGATAGTAGCCAAGCATGAGAATTGTTTCTGAAAGGTACCACATAGCTAGGTGCAATGGCCCATGTCTGTGCTCCCAACACTAAGATACAGGATTGTGAGTTCCAGGCCTGCCTGAGTGACAAACTGAAAACTGACCTCAAATGAACTAAATATTAAAAGAAAGAACTGATTCTGGTAGTTTACAGTGGAGGCTGGAACCACTATGCTCTGGTAACATTCAAACTTCATTGCCACTGTAGTTCTACCTTGGAATAGGCAAGACATGCCTTAGCATATCTGTTTTCCATTCCCTAAAAGAAAGATGAGTTTATACATAAAATGCTGTCTTAATTAACAAATCAAATTTAATTAAACTTTTAGAATCTGTTGGGCATTTTATAATACAATAAAGTCAAATATAATAAGATTAAACAAAAGCAACACATCAGAATTAGAAAAAGCAAACAATAGACAGTAAAGAGCCCAAGAGAAGGCAAAAGCTACAGAAGTCATTTGCTTATGCAGTCAGAAGTCCCATGAAAACACTAAACTTAAGCTCATAATATATACACAGAAGATTTTTAGGGTAAAAAGCAAGAAGAAAGTGTATATGATTAAAATGAAATAAATATAAAAATAATAACATTTTACAAAAAGGCAAAGCCCTCATTGTTAAACAAAGCACCTCCAAAGATGCAATGAAGTTCTTTTTTGTTTGTTTGTTTGGCCGTCTACTGCTGGGCATCATCCTCCCCAGTGAGATTCCATTGGAGGAAATTAAGTTTTTGCTTGTATCTGGTTATAAGCTGGGAAGTATTTTGGGATTAACGATGGAGACACAGGTCCATTTCTCCTTTCAACTCTAGGACCCTAGACTGTTGTCTCAGTCTAAGTTCATATGTGCTTTGATCCTGTTTATTTAGAGGGCTTTGCATATTTTGTACCCAACCTCCTCTGGCTCTTTTTCCTTTTGTCTCTTCTTTCCCAGAATTCCCTGATCCCTGAAAGGAGGGATTTGAAAGAGACCTCCCATTTAGGACTGAGTTCCAGGATGCCTAACTCTCTGTATCATGTCTGACTGTGGATATTTGTATTTTATGATAAGCATCTCTTACCATAGCTGAGCAAACCACTGAGGAGAGCAGACTGCCATTAGGAGTTGTTTTAGTAGGGCATCATTGTTTGTTTGTTTGTTTGTTTGTTATGTTTTGTTTTGATTTTTAAATAACATGCATGTTGGTTTTTACCCCATGTCCCTGGGCTACCTAGTCTCAGAACTTAGTCACCCAAGCAGTGTAAGATATGACTTATTTCTCGAGTAGACTTTAACTCAAATCAGATATTCCCTGATTACTCTTACAAATTTTGTGTCACCATTGTTCTGGCATAACTTGTAGGCAGGACACCATTTTTAATCCAAGAGTTTGTACCTGGGTTGATGTTTGCATTTCTTCTTTGACAGCATGCAGAGTATTTTCCCGAACTAAAATTCTAGAGTATAGGTGTGAAGGATCATTGTGGGCACTATCTCAGTTTTTCATGTTCAGTGAATTTTGTTAGTGTTGTCTTAAGCAATGAAGTCTTGCTGTCAGTTGGTAGAGACAGCATGGAAACTGCATGGGTTGTTTGTTGTTCTCATGTGAAACCTTTGTCACTCAATCCTGGTATTGGAATCTTCACTTGGCGATATGAGATGGTCAGTTGGGTATCTTTATTCCTCAGTATTTGCTGATTTAATTTAATTTAGATAACACACACACACATACACACACACGGAAGATTTTATTGAACTGTTTCAATACTATTCAAATGGCCCTTTCTTTCCTCACATATTCTGTCCCTCATCCCCCTGTACATTCCTTATCCCCTGTCCACTTTATTCTCCATAACTATTGTTTCCCTGTTCCCTCCAAATCTTTCCCTCCTAGTCCCTTATTCTATTTTTACCCTCTGTGTTTCTATAGATTGTAACTTTCTTTTCACTGACTTAACAGCTAACATCCACATATAAGTGAATACATAACATATTTGTCTTTCTGTGTCTGGATTACTTTACTCGGAATGATTTTTTTTTCTAGCTCCATCCAGTACATGGCAATTTCGTTATTTTATTTTTTCACTTCTGAAAGATACTCCTTAGTATAACTCTGCCACAATTTATATATCCATATTCCTGTTGAGGGACTTCTAGTTAATTTTCAATTTTAGGCACATATGCTTAGAGCTGCAATAAGCATGACTGGGCATATGTTTGTCTTGTATAATTAAGCTTCCTTCAAGAAAAGAGTTAAAAGAGTAGATATGTTTCCATCTTCCTGAAGATGGAACAACCACACTAATTTGCATAGTGCTATACAAATTTGCCCTCTTATCAGCAATGGATGAGCATTCCATTCACTCCATATACTCACCAGGATGAGAGATTACTTGCTTTATTGATCTAATTCATTCTGAAGGTGCAAGATAAAATTCTGAAATCATTTTGATTTGCATTTCCCTGATGACTAAGGTTATGAAACTATTCTTTAAGTGTTTCTAACCATTTGTTTCTTTTTTGAGAATTCTGTTTAGCTCTATACACTATTTTTCAGTTGGGTTATCTATTTCCTAGATATATAGTTGCTGCAGTTCTTTATATAGTTTGAATATTATTCCTTTATCAGATATGTAGTTGACAATCATTTCTTATTATGTACTTTGCAACTGTGTCTGAATAATGGTGTGCTTTGCTATGCAGAAGCTTTTTAGGTTCATGAGGGTCACATTTATCAGTTGTCAATCATAGTGCTTTTGATAAGGGTGGTCTCTTCTAAGTCTTTTCCTGTGGCAATAAGTTCAAGGCTATTCTCCACTTGCTATTCTAACAAGCTAAGTGTATCTGGTTCTATATTGAGGAATTTGTTCTATTTGGAGTTGAGTTTTTTTCAAGGTGAATATATATATTTGGATATTTCTACATGAAAACATCCAGTTTGACTAGCACCATTTGCTGATGATGCTGTCTTTTTTTTTGGTGTGTATTTCTAGCATCTTTATCAAAAGTCACATATCTATCAGTGTGTGGATTTATATATGGGCCTTCAATTTGATTCAATTGCTTACATTGTCAGTTTTTGCACCAAATGCTGTTTTATAAATATAGATCATCATTACTACTTCAGCTTACGAGAAATAAAAATGAGTTGGGTAGTATCCACAGCAAGGTTTTTCACCAGGATCTGGTTAGTCTTCAAATGATGGAAAGGGTAATGAAAAACCAATGTAGATGGTTTGCCACAAGCTCTTGGAATGGGGATCAGGGATTGGAATCGGAAGAGTTGAGGAAGAAGTGAAGATTTGAAGTTTAGCTGCCTGGTTCCATGGTTTCAGAGGTCTGTGGGTTCCCAGGGTGAGCCTTCAGGATTTGGGGCTTAAATAAAGTCATAAGTGAAGGGATGTTAGTTACAAAGGGATGATCCACCTGTGTGATCCAATGCAGATAGGTGCAGAGAGTGAGGAAATATTTTGACAGGTGCTATACTGCAGAGCTAGGGATGAGACTGGGAAATTGGATTTGTAAGAGAGGCAGGAGAGGGGAAGGTATGTAGATAACCTACTTGTTTCCGTGGCCATATCTGATGTTTTGCCTTTGTAGAGAAATTTTGAGAATGAAAGCCAAGTACAAATTTATTTATTGGTGGAAAATTTTAGATTCTATGTTAAAATTCTTTTAAAGTCCTGAATAGTATGTAAGATATGTGGATATGTCTGAATTTAAACAAATAATTGTCTTTAAATATATATAATGAGGAATAAACAACTGGATGTAAGGCTCCTTTACTGACTTTGTTTAAAACACTTGTAATTAACATTAGATTTTTTTCCACAAACATTGTCATAGCAGTTTATGCTTCTGTATTAAGATAGATTGCTTTTACAGAGAAAACATATTCTCAGTTTCCCGGAGTTCACATTAAGGTGGTTTGTAATTCTGTGACCAAGATCACAACTGGTACTTTTGAGACCAGGTAATCTCTTTAAGTATCATGTAAAAGGCAGAGACCTCTCTTTGCTTTGCCTTGGGAAAAGTACAAGCTGCAGATTTAACTGGGCAGTATTTCTTCCTTCAGTGTTTCTATTTTATCACCTGTAATAAAACAAAGTAATTTAATCTAATTTTGCAAGATGTGTGAAATATAAATGCAATTTAAAAAATTTAAATGCTTTCACACTTTGACATTGTGTTTCCAGCATGAACTTTTGAGGAATATTCTAATAGTTATGATGTCAAAAGTATTTGCTGTAGTATCACTAAACTTCACACATTGATTTCAAAACATATTCTTTTCTTTTTGTTTTGTTTTCAACTAGGACCCCTACTATGGCTGGTGGCCTATTTTCTATTGACAGAAACTACTTTGAAGAGATAGGAACTTACGATGCAGGAATGGATATCTGGGGTGGAGAGAATCTTGAAATGTCTTTTAGGGTAATTGCATTTTTCTTTATTTCTAAAATCTGAACATAGTGTGTGGTAGCATGTATCTATTACATACAATAACTTACTGTCAGTTTTTTAAGTGACTCAACTTAGTGTTTATTTGTTCAATATGTGTTTCTTTAAAACCTTTATTTGAGTCCTATTGCATGCAAATTTTACTGTTAAATTTGAGATTTTACATTTTCCAAATCATTTTTATTTTTAGTCAAAATATATTAAGGTTTTCACTTGTTGAATGAGAGTAGCCTCATTTTCTAATTGAAGATTTTCCCATAAATCAACCTTGTTCTTTTATGTGATGCTTGGAGTGTTTATGTGACCTGAACTGCACATGCTGCTTGAGTTTCTTCCTAAGGAACTTTAACTCTGACTGTAGTCAAAGGATTCTGATAATCCAGCTAGAGGCATGATTGTTTTTGCAGCCATAGACATGTTTGTAAGTTTTGTTTTTTGTTTTTTATTTTTTGAAAAATTCAAATTTACAAATAAAGGAAAATTCAGAACTAAGCTTAGTGAATATTTTATAGGCAAAATTGGAAATACAGGCCCCCAAATGTATTATTGATTTGGTACTAGAAAAGAGATTTCAAGTATGTTACATTCAATCATGCATATTATTTTAAAATGAATTAGTTTAATGACTAGTTATACTTAAAGAAAATTTAATACAAACACTTAAAACAGTATCATTTAAAATAAGACCAGTTAGTCTGGATACATTTATGCAAATATTTGAAAACTAGTTTTGAACCTCAAGTTGAAAGTTTGTTTTCCAGTGACAGCAAATATGTGTGATGCCTTGTAAGAAATTGTTAAAATTTGAGAGACTAAAAAGATGACTCAATGGTAAAAAGCACGTGCTGTGCTTCTACAAGAGGATTCTACTTTAATTCCCAGCACCTATATGGTACTTCACAGTCATCTATAATGTTAGCTCTAGGGAACTGTCATCCTCTTGTGACCTGTTCAGGCACCAGGAACATGTGATGCACAAATATACATGAAGATGAAATAAAATAAAAATTTTAAAAATTTTGCTCCCCAAATTTTATAAGATGGTTATTAAATTATTGAATTAAGTTAATTTTTTTCTAATGTAGAATTTAGTTTGTCTAATGTATGGGATTTTTCTAAGCAGTAGAACAACTATTTTTGTTACATTTGTCCCTAATTGAATAGATTGTCATGACTATACATAGATTTTTTTATTATTTATGTATATATGCATACTGTATCTAACTTGTCAAAAAAAGATTAGAACTATCTTCCTGCCATCAAGTCTGTGTAGTGTTTTGCAGAAACGTTGAAGCCATTTGAAGGTCTAATCGTTTTAACATAGACCAAAAGATGACAGAAATAAGAAATTTATTCTCCCCTAAATCAAAACAAGTAAAAAAAAAATATTGATAAACATAAAAGTAATTTGCTTTGATTCTTAGAGGAAATAGTCAAAATCTGTAAGGTTTTACTCCAGGAAACTCCCTGAGTATGTGCTATGCTTGTGGGAAAGAACAATTAACAAGTGCTTATCATATGTATGTGATCATATATATACATATATCATATGTATATATACATATACACACACACATACATATATATATGCTTTTAAAAGTACTCTTTTGCATATTTTTTACATATTAAGCTAGATTGTCTGGCAGTACCCTCCCTTGCTTGATCAATCACTTACCTTAGAGGTAAGTGATATGATATGGTTACCATGATATGGTTGACAATAACTACCTAACTATTAAGGACATTAAGAAGGATCAAGTGAGGAGGTCAAAGTTACACATGTATGAGAGGGCTGTGCAGATGTCAAGAAGGCAAAATGGAGGTAACTGGCAAATACAAGCTGTCATTCTCCAGAGTTCTGATTACTCTCAGAGTTGCCACTCACCTTCCTCACTGTTATGTGTCCTGCCATTACATCCTCACCCATTTTCATGTACTATAGTAGACTAAAGTGTTATTAGTAGTGAAGAGAGATGAAGCCACCACACAAATACGTTCTCCTTCCAGATTTCTGACATGGTTGCTTCATCTGTGATATTACCTTTCTTCGATTGTTCCCTTCTGTGGTAGAAAATATGTATCCCGTAACAGCAAGAATGGCTACAGAGAAATCCTAATGCCCCTGCAAAATAATAATTTCAGATCTTTCTCCTCATTAAATTGTGTGTGACACTGGTATAACACAAGTCCTAAGAATAATAATAAACATAAACAAATTAATATAATCAGCATTTATTGAGTTCAATAAATTGTGAGTATATAATACTAGTAGACATATTTGATGGGCTTGTGGTACTTACATTGTAACAAAAATGATTGATGATACACAAGATCAAGAAATTTTATTAATACATTAGTCATTAATGTTTAAGGAAATAATTTCAGAAGGGAAGAGGACAGTGAGCTGCTATTTTTTAAGAGGTGTTAAGGGGTTGGGATTTTACACACTTCATGGATTTGTAGATTTTATGGAAGGAAATTTGAAAGAAAAAAATGATAAAATGAAAATTAATTCTGAATTACTCTAATAATGTCATCAATCTTTAAATGATAATCTGATGAGCATGTCACCCAACATAAATTGCTACTAAAATTCCTTACATTTCATAAACCTCAAGACATGAAACAGTAGTCATGACACAAAGAACAATAACTCTAAAAGTCTTTATTATTTTGTGTACTTGATGAAGAACATAGGCTGCCATCAATTGAATCAGAGTTATTTGACTTGATTTTTGTAAGAAACAAAAACTGGAAAGGCCTTCCTCCAAGCCACAATAGGATAATACTTAGAAATTTGTATTGGGAGTTAATCAACCTGTGTTCAAACCATATCTATTCTACTCTCTATGAGAGTAAGTTGGAATAAGTTAGCAAATCTGCAAAGTTTTAGTTTGTTGATTTCTAGAATGGAAGAGACAGAGCAATAATTTTTATGTTGTAAAGAAGTATAAAATGAATTATGGATACAGTTTTTTAGTACACTGTTTCCCATATGAATTGTATCATAGAACTCATCTCTTAAAATATGGAAATAAAGTTTGCAGATTTAAGCAAACCACATCATTCTTGGGTATCATTTAATAATAACCTCATCCTTAAAATATGGCCATGAGAGAATTGCCTTGTGAAGCCCTTCAGTACCTGCATATCCAAGACATATATAAAGTGTCTCTCGAATTCCTCACAAAAGATGAAATAATGAACATGAAAGCAAATATGAATTAATAATAAAAGAAGAAAAATTTTAAAGAAACATGGTGAACACAAAACTTTGTTTCCTTAGGAAAATCAATAAAATATTTAAATTTATTTCTGAACTTGTGAAAAACAGAGAGATGACAAATATTACCAATAGTGAAAAAAGGGAAAGAAGATATGGTGATGGATTTTCGAGTTATATTAAAAATGTGTAGGGTTTATATGGACAGTATAGTATTATATAATACCCTAGGGCACTTGAGTAAATGGACAGTTGCCTTAAAAGCGTCAGAGCACATAGGAAATCGCCATTAGTGTCATATCTGATAAAGAATTATGTGAACCTCGGGAAATATCTTTCAGACAGGAACTCTTTAGCCATATAACACTGCTGTTGAATTCTATCAAAGGGTTCTATAGGAATGCATAAAATTTAGCACATATACTTTCAGAAAATTAAAAAAGGTGATAATATCTCCCTATTGACTTCATAAAACCAGAATTTCTCTGATAAACTAAGTCACTACAATATTTCACTACAAACCAGTGTTCCTTGTGAGCATAGATTTAAAAAATAATCTAACAAGATTTTAAGTTAATCTCTAATATGATAAATATTACATCTAAGTGGAATTAATTTATAGTGGAATTATTTCGTAGTGCAATAATGTCAAAACATCAAAGCAAAACACACTGGAAGGGGAGAAGTTTAACACTTTCATTGTAGATTATCTAAAATCTCCCATAGAATTTATAAAATGCTGTTAAAATATGCAATAGTACTTTGCAATTCCACATAGAGCCTGACTCTAGCACATTGACAAAATATATTATTGTATGAAAAATATGATATAGTGATTATCAGACAGTAGTAAGATTGCAATTTTTTCTTTTTTCTTTTTTCTTTTCTTTTGGTTCTTTGAGACAGGGTTTCTCTGTGTAGCCCTGGCTGTCCTGGAACTCACTCTGTAGACCAGGCTGGCCTCGAACTCAGAATTCGCCTGCCTCTGCCTCCCAAGTGCTGGGATTAAAGGCGTCCGCCACCTCTGCCCAGTAAGATTGCAACTTTTACCATGAGAAACAAAAGATTTAAATAAACCAACAAATGTACATTACTCGGTTGATAGCTTCCACATCATAATGACAGCTTTCTCATTTCATTCATTAAGAATAAGTAGGCTCCAGGGGACTTTGCTTCTTAGAATTTGACTAGCTCATTCTAAAACCCATATGAAAACATATGTGTTACAGAATGCTTAAAGTTACTTTGATAAGACAAAAAGTTGAAAAATAGTATGATTTCAAAATGCATTGCATAGTAATTAAGACTGTGGAATAGGCATAAAAGCAAGACAATGAAATAAACTGAAAGTCTAGAAACAAACCCACAATATATTAGCATTAATATTGTCAGCAAATATTCAAAGTTTGATGAGGACAAAAACAGGATTTTTCAATAAATGGGTTTGGAACATTCAAAACAATGTATTTCCATATCCTGAACACAATTGAATTGATTAATTAATTCAAGAGTAAGCCTATAGTTCAAAAAAGTAAAAAAAAAATTGCATTTCAGAAAAAAATAATTTGGTTATACTTATAGGATTTTTCATTTATTATTGTTATTAGCATCAATAATACATGTCTTTACAATAACTGAATGTTCACTTTAGAGAGAGGAATTACTTTCTGTGTGCCAATTTTCTTTTCTTACTGATTCCATTCTAAAGTGCAATATGTTTATTTGGTTTATATAACCAAGGAAAATGACA